ACTATGTGCTCGTATTAGGTGTTTGTTTGCATAATTGTGCTGCCTCCTTAAATAGTTGTGGAGAAACCAAAGTAGATTTTCCAGTCCCCCTCTTCTCATTGAAAACAGGCACTCCAAAAATGACTATGAGGAATATTTTTAAGGAGATCTTATAAATAGTGTCAGCACATCACTGAATCAAACACCCAGCTTTAATGTGACACATTTGAGAGTCAGGTGAGTCTATTGCAGTGATAGTCAGACCTCAGTGGTCCAGGAGCCAAATCAGTGATCAACATTACCCAAAAGAGCCACAGTAGTATGAATTCATTGTTTCATTTACTACAGTACTATTAATGTTTAAACACTATGAGGGGAAATATTTAATTTATATATATAAATAAGTTAATAACTTAGTGCAAATTTATAACTTAATTGGTTAATAGCATAGTAAAAGCATCCCGATTGGTTATTAGCTTAGAGTGGTTAATAATTAAATCACACAGTGTTTTAAATCATGTATTGCCAAGAGCCACAGGAGACACATGAAAAAGCCACTTGTGGCTCATAAGCCGAGTGTGAATATCACAGGTCTATTCATAGAATCATAGAATCTCAGGGTTGGAAGGGACCTCAAGAGGTCATCTAGTCCAACCCCCTGCTCAAAGCAGGACCAATTCCCAACTAAATCATCCCAGCCAGGGCTTTGTCAAGCCTGACCTTAAAAACCTCTAAGGAAGGAGATTCCACCACCTCCCTAGGTAACCTGTTGGTACAGGCTACTTTTAAACAATATCTACCAGCCAACGTCTTAATTCAAGGACTGGGTTTTGCGGTGCAGATGGCTTGTCTATAGATCCCAGCGCATTGACAATATTTTACCACGACTGTTTCCAGCCCTGCTTTATTGACGAGTATAAGGAACATTTATGTAGCATATAAAGTTACCCAGATGAATGACCTGTTTTTTCAAAAGTAACAAAACCCCCTGCTTCCATAGCAGTTGATGGGAGCAGAACTGCTGCCTTGAAAACCACGCCATGAAACATTTCATTCCGAAAAAATTAACTCTTACCTGAATTGTATCATGAGGAGCATTTTCAGTGCACTGCTTCAAACTTGTCCCTTCAGTAAAGTCTTCAGCAAAGCTTTACTCTATGTGCCTAGTGATTAAATGTCATAACTATGCATTCGAGAATCATAAATCTCTCGTCATTCAGGCTATAAAGAGTCCTGTATGCCTTAGTGAAAGTTTAGGAATAAGTGCTGTGCACTCAAAGCAGCGGCGTTTAAATAATGGCTAAGATTATTGATTAACTGCTGATGATCTGAGAATTACGCTGAGCATCGGTCAGAATATCAATGGACTTTGCTCCCTCTTCCTAGTTCAGATTTTTTCTGCTTGGCTGAAGGATGGCTTTTGATTTTGTATATTGGATGAATGGGAATGAAGTGCGAGGCTAGTCCAAGAGCAGATACATCTTGTTAGCATTTAAAAGGGGATAGGGATGACTTGCTGATTAAGGTGCAGGATGGGATTCAAGGAGGTCTGGGTTCCATTAGTGGCTTTGCCGTAGACTGCCTGTGTGTGATGTACATTGCCTCAATCGCCTCATTTATAACATGAGGATAGTAAGACTTAGATTGCAGGCTCTTTGGGGCGGGGGCTGCCTCTTTGTTCTGTGTGTGCAGAGCCTAGCACAGTGGAGTTCTGGTCCATGACTGGGCTCCTCGGTGCTAACACAGATCAAATAATAAGACTAATTTACTAATGAGAAGTATCAGAGGGGTAGCCGTGTTAGTCTGGATCTGTAAAAAGCAGCAAAGAGTCCTGTGGCACCTTAAAGACTAACAGAAGTATTGGAGCATAAGCTTTCGTGGGTGAATACCCACTTCGTCAGACGTCTGATGAAGTGGGCATTCACCCACGAAAGCTTATGCTCCAATACATCTGTTAGTCTATAAGGCCTTGGCTACACTTACCCGGTAGTTCGGTGGCGAGCGATCG